GATGAGATTCCACCTTCCATACTGGCCCTGATGAGATTCCACCTCCCATACCTCCCATACTGGCCTGATGAGATTCCACCTCCCATACTGGCCCTGATGAGATTCCACCTCCCATCAATACTGGCCCTGATGAGATTCCACCTCCCATACTGGCCCTGATGAGATTCCACCTTCCATACTGGCCCTGATGAGATTCCACCTCCCATACTGGCCCTGATGAGATTCCACCTCCCATACTGGCCCTGATGAGATTCCACCTCCCCCATACCTCCCATACACACTGGCCCTGATGAGATTCCACCTCCCATACTGGCCCTGATGACATTCCACCTCCCATACTGGCCCTAATGAGATTCCACCTCCCATACTGGCCCTGATGAGATTCCACCTCCCATACTGGCCCTGATGAGATTCCACCTCCCATACTGGCCCTGATGAGATTCCACCTCCCATACTGGCCCTGATGAGATTCCACCTCCCATACTGGCCCTGATGAGATTCCACCTTCCATACTGGCCCTGATGAGATTCCACCTCCCATACTGGCCCTGATGAGATTCCACCTCCCATACTGGCCCTGATGAGATTCCACCTCCCCATGGCCCTGATTCCACCTCCCCTGATGATATTCCACCTCCCATACTGGCCCTGATGAGATTCCACCTCCCATACTGGCCCTGATGAGATTCCACCTCCCATACTGGCCCTGATGAGATTCCACCTCCCATACTGGCCCTAATGAGATTCCACCTCCCATACTGGCCTGATGAGATTCCACCTCCCATACTGGCCCTGATGAGATTCCACCTTTCCATATTGGCCCTGATGAGATTCCACCTCCCATACTGGCCCTGATGAGATTCCACCTCCCATACTGGCCCTGATGAGACCTCCACCTTCCATACTGGCCCTAATGAGATTCCACCTCCCATACTGGACCTGATGAGATTCTACCTCCCATACTGGCCCTGATGAGATTCCACCTTCCATGTGGCCCTGATGAGATTCCATACCTCCATACTCCACCTCCCATACTGGCCCTAATGACATTCCACCTCCCATACTGGCCCTGATGAGATTCCACCTCCCATACTGGCCCTGATGAGATTCCACCTTCCATACTGGCCCTGATGAGATTCCACCTCCCATACTGGCCCTGATGAGATTCCACCTCCCATACTGGCCCTGATGAGATTCCACCTTCCATACTGGCCCTGATGAGATTCCACCTTCCATACTGACCCTGATGAGATTCCACCTCCCATACTGGCCCTGATGAGATTCCACCTTCCATACTGGCCCTGATGAGATTCCACCTTCCATACTGGCCCTGATGAGATTCCACCTCCCATACTGGCCCTGATGAGATTCCACCTCCCATACTGACCCTGATGAGATTCCACCTCCCATACTGGCCCTGATGAGATTCTACCTCCAACACTGGCTGCTGCTGATATCCAGATGACAACTTCTCCTGATGGCACATCCCCTCTGATCTCCCGAATAGTACAACCTTGTCGTCTTCCAATCATTGATTTAATAAACCAGCTATGTCCCAGGTAATCACTCTTATGGTAAGTGCATTTAATGCTTAGGGAGTTCTATTTTGGAGAATGGCTGTGCCAATCCTCGTCGTCCTCTACCTACAGGGCAGTTCTGCTATATCAGCCAACAGACTTCCCACTTAGTAGACTAATTTCATTGATGACACACAAAAATTGGGCTGTTACTATGCTCTGGATTTTGAACAACCAACAGGCAGAGCAAACACATTACTGAATCTTCAATGATATTGTAGATACAAGAGAACATTACATGAAAATGCTTCTCAAATAGTTTTTATTGATATTCTATCTTCGCTATTTTACAGGCATTATATGCAATATGATATGGTAATACCTTTGACTGCAATTTGACAAAACATTGCAAAGCATTCAAATGTTTTCAGTAGGTCCATGTACATTGTTATCCCTACCTACCTGCCTGTACTTTAACAGAACACTATTGGATATCAGGTGAAAAACATCATTCAATATGTGCACACTTTCCACACCAATTATTGATCAGTGTATATACTCAAGGGTCCACCATTGATGTCCAGTCCTGACGCTCTTCTGATAGCTGATGGTGGTAGATGGTGTTCATAGATGGTGGTAGATTGTTTTCACAGATGGTGGTAGATGGTGTTCATAAATGGTGGTAGATGGTTTTCATAGATGGTGGTGGATGGTTTTCACAGATGGTGGTGGATGGTGTTCATAGATGGTGGTAGATGGTTTTCACAGATGGTGGTGGATGGTGTTCATAGATGGTGGTAGATGGTTTTCACAGATGGCAGTTGATGGTGTTCACAGATGGCAGTTGATGGTTTTCATAAATGGTGGTATATGGTTTTCACAGATGGCAGTTGATGGTTTTCACAGATGGCAGTTGATGGTTTTCATTGATGGTGGTAGATGGTTTTCATAGATGGTGGTGGATGTTTTTCACAGATGGTGGTAGATGGTGTTCATAAATTTTGGTAGATGGTTTTCACAGATGGCAGTTGATGGTTTTCACAGATGGCAGTTGATGGTTTTCATAGATGGTGGTAGATGGTTTTCATAGATGGTGGTTGATGGGATGTTTTCACAGATGGTGGTAGATGGTGTTCATAAATGGTGGTAGATGGTTTTCACAGATGGCAGTTGATGGTTTTCACAGATGGCAGTTGATGGTTTTCACAGATGGCAGTTGGTGGTTTTCACAGATGGCAGTTGGTGGTTTTCACAGATGGCAGTTGATGGTTTCACAGATGGCAGTTGCTGTTTTTCATTGAAGTTGGTAGATGGTTTTCACAGATGGGTTTTCACAGATGGCATGGTGATGGTTTTCATAGATGGTGGTAGATGGTTTTCATAGATGGTGGTGGATTGTTTTCACAGATGGCAGTTGATGGTTTTCACAGATGGCAGTTGATGGTTTTCACAGATGGCAGTTGATGGTTTTCATTGATGGTGGTAGATGGTTTTCATTGATGGTGGTAGATGGTTTTCATTGATGGTGGTAGATGGTTTTCATAGATGGTGGTAGATGGTTTTCACAGATGGCAGTTGATGGTTTTCACAGATAGCAGTTGATGGTTTTCATTGATGGTGGTAGATGTTTTTCACAGATGGTGGTAGATGTTTTTCACAGATGGCAGTTGATGGTTTTCATTGATGGTGGTAGATGGTTTTCATAGATGGTGGTAGATGGTTTTCACAGATGGCAGTTGATGGTTTTCATAGATGGTTTTCATAGATGGTGGAGATGGTTTTCATAGATGGTGGTAGATGGTTTTCATAGATGGTGGTAGATGGTTTTCACAGATGGCAGTTGATAGATTGGCTGATGGTTTTTGGTGGTGATGGTTTTCATAAATGGTGGTAGATGGTTTTCACAGATGGCAGTTGATGGTTTTCATAGATGGTGGTAGATGGTTTTCATAGATGGTGGTAGATGGTTTTCATAGATGGTGGTAGATGGTTTTCACAGATGGCAGTTGATGGTTTTCACAGATGGCAGTTGATGGTTTTCACAGATGGCAGTTGATGGTTTTCACAGATGGCAGTTGATGGTTTTCATAGATGGTGGTAGATGGTTTTCATAGATGGTGGTACATGGTTTTCACAGATGGCAGTTGATGGTTTTCACAGATGGCAGTTGATGGTTTTCACAGATGGCAGTTGATGGTTTTCATAGATGGTGGTAGATGGTTTTCATAGATGGTGGTAGATGGTGTTCATAGATGGCGGTAGATGGTGTTCATAGATGGTGGTGGATGGTTTTCAAAGATGGTGGTAAATGGTTTTCACAGATGGCAGTTGATGGTTTTCATAGATGGTGGTGGATGGTTTTCAAAGATGGTGGTAGATGTTTTTCATAGATGGCAGTTGATGGTTTTCATAGATGGTGGTACATGGTTTTCATAGATGGTGGCACATGGTTTTCATAGATGGTGGTAGATTGGTTTTCATAGATGGTGGTTGATGGTTTTTATAGATGGTGGTTGATGGTTTTCATAGATGGCGGTTTTCACAGATGGTGGTAGATGGTTTTCATAGATGGTGGTAGATGGTTTTCATAGATGGTGGTAGATGGTTTTCATAGATGGTGGTAGATGGTTTTCATAGATGGTGGTGTAGATGGTTTCACAGATGCAGTTTTGATGGTTATGTTTTACAGATGCAGTTTGATGGTTTTGTTTTTTATAGATGGTGCTTGACAAGTTTCATAGACGGTGGTTGACATGTTAGTAACTGTTCTGTGTTGTTGCAGTCACTGAGTATTGAGTGAGATTCTAGTATTCCTATGTGGTTGAGTCTGATTCAAACCCACACTGTCAGAGTCAGGCATCTAATCGCCAACACATGAAGTCAGTCACAGAAATGGAAGTCATACAACTGATAGACTGAGATCACTTACTTTGTCTACCTCTCTGTCAAGTGTAAATTGGCAAGGCTCCCTCAAACGAAAGCTATGAATACACAATACCATTCAGAAAGTGGTCAAATATTATACATATTACTTTCAGAATAACACTTTCTCAGTAAAGTACAGATTCAGGTGAATACCATGTGGATGATATTACAAATTCTTCTATATTACAAAGAAGCAATTAAAATGATACATGCCAATTAGCTAGACTAAAAACCACTTCCTTACCTATTTATGACAGACATATATACAAAAGAAGTGTAAATTAACTTGCCCAAGTAAGTCCTGTGCATACAGAGTTGATATACAAATGTTGAGGTGTATATAAGACTTCACATCTGGTCACAGAAGCATAAAAATTGACAATCATTGGATAAGCCATTGCCAGAGCAAGTAGACAACAAAGAGAACCAATACTTATTTACATAACTACTTTACCTTGGGATCAAAGGTGAGTGCTTAGGTTAGTTTAAACAAAGACGTAGACATATATATACATCTTTGGTTTAGAGAATTGTTACTGACCTTAACTAGATTACCTACCTATGTTAAAAATACTCGCATATATGTACACAATATTTCCATCCCGCTACACTTGTATATACGGTAGCTACACTGCTATCTAAGTAACTATACTGACTGTTGTCAGTGACCACCTGACAAATCACTGACCTTCTGACATATCAATGAGCACATTCCAAGATAACAATGTCTGTCAGAGAGAACATATATACTCAACCAAAAAAGTTTAGCACGCTGCACTAAATTGTCCTTACAGATATAATCAATGTTCTCATTAGTCTGAACCTGATACCTGTAAACTTGTGACACCTGTGGAATTGCTGTGTGACGAGAGAATTGAAAGTCACGTGCATTTGTCTGTGATTTTCGTGGAATTCACGTGAAACACATTTTTCATGTCTCAAAAACAATGAAAATCATCCCGTGGCCGATGCATTATTGCATACCCACTGAGACATTCTCCTGAAAGGATAAAACATTTTTAAAGTTTGAAAATCAACCATGGGACGCAGAGGAGGCATGCCTGAAAATCAGAGACATGAAGCGATTGGGAGACTGAATGCTGGTCAAACAATTACAGATGTAGCGCGTCATTTCAACGTGCACAGGAGCAAAATTTCACGTCTCCAGATACGTGTACAGCAGACCGGTCATGTCAGAGATCGCCACGCATCCGGCAGACCCCGTAAGACCACACCCACGGAAGACTGATTTTGGTGACGCCATCACGGCGCCACAGGTTTACAAGTGCTCCAAAGTTGGCTAGACAGTTGCAACAGGACACCGGCACAACTGTTCATCCCCAAACGGTAAGGAACCGTTTGCACACAGCCCGACTGTTTGCCCAACGTCCAGTGGTTGGAGTTCCATTGAGTCAACGTCACAGACAGGAACGTTTGCAATGGGCAAGTGCTCATCGGCGCTGGCGTTGTCAACAATGGAACCAGACATTATTCACTGATGAATCACGTTTCTGTGTGGAATTTGCAGATGGACGACGCAGAGTATGGTGTCGAGTGGGTGAACGTTATGACGCCAATATTGTCATCGAACGTGACCGCTATGGAGGAGACAGCATCATGGTTTGGGCTGGGATCCGACTTGATTCTTGTCCCAGGAAACCTGAATGCACAATGTTACTGCGATGAGATCATCAGACAAACTGTCATCCCATTCACGCAACGAAATCCCGGCTTTACGTTCAACATGACAACGAAGACCGCACACAGCCATTCGAACAAGAGATCTTCTTTGGCAACACAACATTCAACCTCTCCATTGGCCAGCAAGATCCCCAGACCTCTCTCCCATAGAGCATGTGTGGGACATTCTTGGAAGGAGGGTCAGAGAACATCACCCCCTTATTGATAACCGTCATGACCTTGAAAATGCCCTCATTCGTGAATGGGGTAACATTAACGTTGGTGAATTGAGAGCAGTTGTTAACAGCATGAGACAGCGATGTACAGCTGTAATTCAGGCCAATGGAGGCCACATACAATATTGACGTTTTTTTTTAGCAATACCCCACTCTTAATTTTGGGGTCATAGTGGCTTTATGGAGAACAATGAACACAAGTCTGAGTGATTTTAAAATGGAAAAATGAAATGTGAAACCAACCTGATTTGGATATTATAATATATTTTCGGTACCACATGATTTTTGTCATTTTTTATACCAACGTGCTAAACTTTTTTGGTTGAGTATATCTTTTGATGACAGAAAGTAAAAATGCCATTAAAGAGGCAGTGATCTATGGCTTCAACCCGGTAGTATATCACTGCCACCTAGATCTCATTAGCTGCCGTGAGATGATTTGCTGGCAGAAAACGCAGAGAAAACGCCAGCAGAAAACTAAGCAACGATTTGAGACAATTTGAGACAATGTTTATACTCATATAGGTATACAAAAATGCATGTATTAATTATTATTATTTTTCAACTTAAACAAAGAAGTGCATGAATTTATTAATTTCATTTAACTAAACCAGCAAAATGAATGATGGATGCCCATCTAATGCCGTTATTTGGAAATATCCCAGATGACTGTAATATGACGTTAATAACATATCCATGTAGTGCAAGTATTTTCTGATTTCTGATGAATGAATGGGACGATGACTGAGATTGAGTTGTATCCCATTTCTACCTTTTGTATCTTGACACTTCATCATGTCATTAATAATGTCATGTCAACATTCCTGAGAAAAAACATATTTGATTTATTGAAAAATAAATCATTCCCATTTTGCCTTTGTTATGACTTAAAATTCCAATTAGGTAAATATATATATACATTTTTAACTTACACAGCAAATGCGTGTACATATTATTTCAGCAACAACGAAGTTCCATACATATCCTCAAAACAGGAACGGCCCTTCAGGCCACTACATTGCAAACATTACAATGATTACTACCATTATAAGAACTTCGTCACTATTACCGATGTGACCTATAAAGATGCCTGCATTTCTCGGTTGATTCCAAGATGAAATTGTATCATATATTTGCTAATGAAAGGGAAGATGCGCCCTTATAACACAATAGAAATACACTTTCAGTTGGCACAGTATAGATTGCAAACTTAGGGATACCAGCCCAGCCAGTCCTGGGGTACAGTCAGAGATCAGTTCCCCACCTCTGTGATGTTTGTGGAGATCATGCTTGTATCACAGAGGTACTGCACTTATGTTTATAGTGTGTTCTGCTTGTACGTTTAGAATGAAATGAAGGTCCAAGGGTGTTAAGATTATGCTTCAAAATGAATGTTGATAGAAAAATAGAAATATTAAGACAAATATTATAATGACTTTATGCTGTGTAACATATTTACACCCACAAGATATAAAGTGTATCTAAAGGCAGACAGTGTAACCGATTCCACCTTTGGAGCAAACAGGAAACATGTGCTGCCACACACTTCATGCTCACACCTGACGCAGAGCAGATGTGACCTTTAATTGGTGAAATCCATTCTTCTACTAAATCCCATGTCATACAATATCAAACACTAGAACCAATCAGACCTTACCTATTTTATTAGGCCACTGATGTATTAAGAGTGGAACGTATCACTATGAATTTTCAATACAGCACAAGAAAATAATCTGGAGCATGTTTACCACTCCAAATATGAAGCTCATTACACAGACTGTATGTAAACACACTGCATCAGAGCCTGACATACTGTCCCTGAACTGACTCCACCCGAAGATAATTAACCACAATGCCTAGACAACAGGTAATTCCTGAAGCATACAGTTCTCAATTTCTGTCCAAGTAAATCAATGACGTCTGTTAGTGCTGCAGTCCGCTACACAGTTGACAGAGGCGGTAATTAACTTCACTAGTTCAGGATCTCCACATCTACTGGTGCTGTTGTTTGTAATGTCTCATAACGACCTCACCACTTCCCATAGGCCGATTGGTTTTGCAAATTGATGGGAATAGGGGCCCATTGAGAGTACGTGGCCAACTAAATGACTGACATCCAGAAAATTCCATCAGTTCTCAAACACTAGTGTCTGCCAGGCCCCCATGAGTGTCTAGATCTTACTCTCCCCATCTCAGCACAGATCTAACCTCTGTCAAAACACTGACCTTCATGACTATGTGTAGATCTCACAACAAAGTCTTCTCATTTCTCAATCCCAGTCTCCCAGTCTCAGTGGTGACTACAGGTCAATCTCAGTGGTGACTACAGGTCAATGTCTCAGTGGTGACTACAGGCCCATGTCTCAGTGGTGACTACAGGCCCATGTCTCAATAGTGACTACAGGTCCGTCTCAGTGGTGACTACAGGCCCATGTCTCAGTGGTGACTACAGGTCCATGTCTCAGTGGTGACTACAGGTCTGTCTCAGTGGTGACTACAGGCCCATGTCTCAGTGGTGACTACAGGTCCGTCTCAGTGGTGACTACAATTCCATCTCAGTGGTGACTACAGGTCCATGTCTCAATGGTGACTACAGGCCCATGTCTCAGTGGTGACTACAGGTCAATGTCTCAGTGGTGACTACAGGCCCATGTCTCAGTGGTGACTACAGGTCAATGTCTCAGTGGTGACTACAGGTCCATGTCTCAGTGGTGACTACAGGCCCATGTCTCAGTGGTGACTACAGGTCATGTCTCAGTGGTGACTACAGGCCCATGTCTCAGTGGTGACTACAGGTCCGTCTCAGTGGTGACTACAGGTCCATGTCTCAGTGGTGACTACAGGCCCATGTCTCAGTGGTGACTACAGGTCCGTCTCAGTGGTGACTACAGGCCCATGTCTCAGTGGTGACTACAGGTCAATGTCTCAGTGGTGACTACAGGTCCATGTCTCAGTGGTGACTACAGGCCCATGTCTCAGTGGTGACTACAGGTCAATGTCTCAGTGGTGACTACAGGTCCATGTCTCAGTGGTGACTACAGGTCAATGTCTCAGTGGTGACTACAGGTCAATGTCTCAGTGGTGACTACAGGCCCATGTCTCAGTGGTGACTACAGGTCAATGTCTCAGTGGTGACTACAGGACTACAGGCCCATGTCTCAGTGGTGACTACATGTGACTACCATCTCAGTGGTGACTACAGGTCCATCTCAGTGGTGACTACAGGTCCATGTCTCAGTGGTGACTACAGGTCCATGTCTCAGTGGTGACTACAGGCCCATGTCTCAGTGGTGACTACAGGTCCATGTCTCAGTGGTGACTACAGGTGACTACAGGTCAATGTCTCAGTGGTGACTACAGGGCCCATGTCTCAGTGGTGACTACAGGTCCATGTCTCAGTGGTGACTACAGGCCAGGTGTCTCAGTGGTGACTACAGGTCCATGTCTCAGTGGTGACTACAGGCCAATGTCTCAGTGGTGACTACAGGTCCATGTCTCAGTGGTGACTACAGGCCCATGTCTCAATGGTGACTACAGGTCCATGTCTCAATGGTGACTACAGGCCCATGTCTCAGTGGTGACTACAGGCCCATGTCTCAGTGGTGACTACAGGCCCATGTCTCAGTGGTGACTACAGGTCCGTCTCAGTGGTGACTACAGGTCATGTCTCAGTGGTGACTACAGGTCCATGTCTCAGTGGTGACTACAGGTCCATG